TTATTTAATACTATATTAACATTTAACTATTAAAATTTATTGAATAATCAGATTTCTTGAATAAAATATTATAAAAAAGATTTCTCAAAATTTCAAAGTAAACGCGTTTTCTAGTTTTATGTTTTCAGAAACAGTTTTTCAAAACTACAAACAGAACGCATTTTCAACAATTTCAAAACGAACACTCAAAACACAAAACACAAAACGATTTCAAACTCAAAACATAAAATTGAAACATAAAGAGAACGGCCCCTTAACTACTGATTAGGAATTTTTCGCACAGGAAATAAACGATGGAGACTGTACCAAAGGTGTTTGAGACTCCTAGTCTAAACTCTAAAGATAGATTTCACTACCTCTACTGCCATATATTCTCTTTAAAAACTCCGTGCTATTTTTTATTGGCTAGTTATTTGGAAACCTGTTAAAACTCGATGAAGCCAACAATCCTAACAAGGTCAAGCGAAGCAAGGTTCTGTGTGGGGGTTGATCTAATGAAACCTATGCCGAAAAGAATCCAACTATGAAAGAGAGATGATTTCTGGAAAACTGTAATCTATGAAATCCTCCTAATTACTGCTTCCAATGTTTTCATGTGGGTATCGTAAGGAGGAATGTATGATCAAATTTATGGTGATGATCTACAATCAGACAAGGGTAGACGAATGAATGCTGGGGAAAATGAACAATGATAAAAGTGAAAAATGACAAAGTGACCGACGATCTGGGAACCATATCAGAAAGAGTAGGTTGAAACCTACACGAGATGGATTCATGAAGGTTGAACCAAATGCTGATCAACTAAAGCACAATGAAATATCAGAGGGAAAAAGGCCTACCAACCAAATTTAAGGCATTAGATATGACAAAGTTTTACGATAGCTATTGACTATCTTTCTTTATTTATAGATGTGAGACCAGTTGGATTTGTGGAGTCTAATATATTGTACACTTTTTCTCTCGGTCACAGTTCGGCCTTCTCATTAAGGTTGAGGGGTGGTCCGTGGGATAGAACCCGTGATGCAAAACTTTTTTTAAGTGTCACGGGATACTTCCAAAATTTTGCATATGCATTAGATCGGCATAATATTTGCCTCCTATATAAAGAGCATTAGAGCAAGCCTTCAATTTGTGTATCATAATAGTGAAAAAATAGAGATTCGTGAGTTCATAAACATAAGCGGCTACGAGTATCATAGCTCTCGCATTGAGAGTGAAGCATATTAGATTCGTGCTTTCTATTTTCTTGTTCAGAATTACTATATACTCAGTAATACAGATTGTTCACTTATCGATGACATGACCAACTGGGAAAACCACAGGTGGATATTATTGCGGAAAAGGATCCATTTAGCTGACTTCATATGTATTAAGAATAAAGTTTAGTTTGCCGTCGTCGTAATATTGTCCAACTTTTTATGGTCAACATTGACGAACACGAGTTCATAAAATTTCAGGCAATAAATCATGGAATGTCCAATATATGTATGGACAAAGTGAGACAAGTGAGCAAAGGAAGTCTTTTCTCTTCCAATGGAAGGGAAGCAGAAATATGGAAGAACAGCTTATGATATTGAAGGGTATGGAAGTATTTCAGTTCTTCCAGAACATCAAATTCTTGATTGCACTGATCGATTGTTTCTTACTGTAAGCATAGAAGATAATAGAATAGTCGAGTTTTGGGCCAAAAATCCTATTAAGTTTCTGGTTTGAATAGCTCATTTGCATTTTGATTTTCGCTCGAAATGAAAGAAGAATCACACGATCTTTGCTGAAAACCTCAAATGAGTTTCTTCTCAAGGTCATGGCAAGATCACTAAACTTGAGGAGAATTACTTACCACATCAGTAAGGCGAAAGTGAAAGAGCGATAGTAATGGAAAGATTCAACTTCTACCCAATATTGCTCTTGGCGTAAAACCTCAAGCCATGCCTCAGCCATCACCTATCATCTTACAAGAAATAAGTCGAAGGCCTTCAAGCATTGAAAGATGATCAATGGTTTAGAATTGCTGTTGTTCCATATTTATTCTTGTTCATGTTGGAGATCAAGTAGAGGTATAATTTGATCATCTTTCTCAACATATTTACACTCGACAAATCGACCCCTATTCTCCATTTTGGACCATAAAGAAATGACTCAACCTCATATCAAGTTGTCTACAATACAACGTCGTCAGTGCTTCTTAAGATTCGTTTTCCTTTTCTTTCGTCATTGTCAACAATAAAGAAATGGCATTAGTCTGGAATTACTTTCATGTTCTTAGGTTGTTTTGGTAAGAAGTATGTGAAATTGTTGGAAAAACGGACGGAAACCCCAAGTTTACTGAGATAAAAACAATGTAATAGATTTAATTTCGATGAAAGTAGTTGCAGCTCAATGTCCAAAAAAGCATAAAGAATAATTTAGATAATTGTGCATGCAAATCAACGAAAAATGTTTTGTATGTTAGATTGAATAGGACGTGACGAGATTAATGGGAAAAAAAAATTGATTCCAGTATGTAATGGATTAGGGCATAACACTTACAGAAGGGTATGGAAGCATTTCAGTTCTTTCAGAACATCAAATTCTTGATTGGACTGGTCAGTTGTTTCTTACTATAAGCATAGAAGATAATAGCATAGTCGAGTTTTGGCCCAAAAATCCTATTAAGTTTCTGGTTTGAATAGCTCATTTGCATTTTGATTTTCACTCGAAATGAAAGAAGAATCACACGATCTTTGCTGCTAGATGAAAATTGAATTCTGGATGTTTTGCGTTCAGTTTGAATAAATATTTTTTCTGGAAATGGTCAAGAGATCCGGTTCAAAACATCGAAACACAATGTCAATGTTTTGAGTTCGGTAGGTACGTAAGAGATTTTGATTCTGCATTTAATATGTTGGACTCACAAAATTTAAGAAGAAAAAGAAACTAGTTAAAATCTCGTCAATAGATTGTGCAATAGTGTCCGGTACTAGATATCAATCGAGACTTAGTCCACGTCTGCCCTTATTTTTAAAATTTGTTTTTCCTTAAACTCATTTCCAATCATACATTTCATGAGACTCACAACTTTTATAAGCTATTTAACTACATATTTCAACAACCTTCCATCAAAAACTACAAAATCTTATTTTTAGCTAAACCAAACGGAGGCTTAATGTATAATTATGTCAATTTAAAATCTAATTCCTATTTGTATTTCTCCGAAAAGATCAAGTCCCCCAGTAAGTTCACCCTCTCAGGCCACCCTTGGACACCTTGTATTGGATCAAGGTCTGTAGAGGTCTGAAGGTGCCCTAGTCAAACGATGAAGGAAGAAAAAGACCATTCTTGATTATAAATAAACACGAGTATTGTTCAAAACTAAATATCTATTGTTCACTACTAATTTGTCTAATCGTGCAGGGAGATTTTCGAAGTACAAATAATGAAGTTGAAAGCCTCAAATGAGTTTCTTCTCAAGGTCATGGCAAGATCACTAAACTTGAGGAGAATTACTTTCTACATCAGTAAGGCGAAAGTGAAAGAGCGACAGTAATGGAAAGATTCAACTTCTACCCAATATTGCTCATGGCGTAAAACCTCAAGCCATCACCTATCATCTTACAAGAAAGAAGTCGAAGGCCTTCAAGCATTGAAAGATGATCAATGGTTTATAATTGCTGTGGTTCCATATTTATTCTTGTTCATGTTGGAGATCAAGTAGAGGTATAATTTGATCATCTTTCTCAACATATTTACACTCGACAAATCGACCCCTCTTCTCCATTCTCGACCATGAAGAAATGGCTCAACCTCATATCAAGTTGTCTACAATACAACGTCGTCACTGCTTCTTAAGATTCGTTTTCCTTTTCTTTCGTCATTGTCAACAATAAAGAAATGGCATTGGTCTGGAATTACTTTCATGTTCTTAGGTTGTTTTGGTAAGAAGTATGTGAAATTGTTGGAAAAACAGACGGAAACCCCAAGTTTACTGAGATAAAAACAATGTAATAGATGTAATTTCGATGAAAGTAGTTGCAGCTCAATGTCCAAAAAAGCATAAAGAATAATTTAGATAATTGTGCATGCAAATCAATTAGGCATGTTTTGTATGTTAGATTGAATAGGACGTGACGAGATTAATGGAAAAATAAAAAAAAATTGATTCCAGTATGTATAACATGCCGTCAAAGCAATAATTTAAACTCCCAGAAAATCATTACTTCTTGAATCTATTAAGACATAGTTAACAACATAAATTGCCACCCATTTTGGGCACAAAAAATTGCTTTAAATTTTGAAGATTACCAGGAAAATAGTCGAGAAACAGAGTAATGAAACCTGAGAAAAAATGAGCACATAGTAACTTCGAAATTTGTCGACGATTGATTTGCAAAACCACAAACAAATTGAGACCGGGAAGCTTTATTTATGACATTCATGAAACTGGACCTCGTACAACAGCTCGTATACAATAAGAATCTACAACATGGCAAAATACCAGAAACCAGACGAAATAAAAGTGAAGAAAAATGAAAAAAGTTTACTTATAAGCAGTTTACCAGAGTCCATAAACCTTCAATCAGTAGAATCAACACCATTCCTACAGCACCTGAAAGACATACTTGGCCTTTAGGATAAAACTGAACCTGGTTGATCAAATCAGTAAACAATAACACAAAGTATACAACATAAGGATCATTAATCATTAGAAAGAAATGAGTCACATGATTCTTTCTTACTATCCTTTGTAGGATTGATCAATACGTTTCATGGCAAGACGGCTAAAAATGTTAAGACAAACCAATAGCAGATTGCTTTTGATCTCAATCTCGATCTTTTGAATTACATCACAGAGCAGGGTAGCACGTCATGTCATATCTGATGAGATTCTAAATCCATATACTCACTAAGTTTTATAAACTCTTACACCAATCATAATTTCTCTCTCTTTATGTTACCTCTTGTTTTGTTTCTTCAATTTTCAATCAAAAAAACAACCGAATGTATAAAATATTGAGCAACAAGCAGCAATTTGAGTTAGCATCTACTGGAAGGGAAATGCTAAATATAACATGATTGTCAAACGTAATTCCATTTATAATGACATATATGGTGCTATTAAGTATGAAAGTAGCAAACATTTTCCAAGGCACACAAATTTCTCTAGCAAATCACATATTAGAACAACCGTTTCTCCAAAAGATTGGCATTTTTTCTTTTTCAAACATTTGATTAGATTCGATCATCCAACTAATTTACTTCATAATTGATCCAGCAGTTTGCAGAAAAAAAGTATATTTAAGGATATACAATAATTAACAAAGAATGCATTTTTAGTCAAAATATTAATGTTAACATGCAGTAATAACAATGGAATAACAAAGATTTATAACAAAATCACTAGGCACAAAAATGTGGATTGATATTTTCTATATTTCATCTATGGCTAACTTTGGGCACATTAAAAGATTCTCTCCCTCAACGCTTTTTTCCTCAAGAATTTATAATTTGCTGACAAGAAGGTTACCTCAGATTACAATTGTTTTTGCAAACCATACAAATCTATGGGGTTTTCATAATAAATTAAATGGATAACGATTTTCATTTGTAAATATTTTTTGTGATCAAATTCTTCTGAGATAAATTTTCCAAGTCTTTGACCTATGTTTTTACTAGTGTAAACTAACATATAATTGGTGGAAGCTGAATAATAGTCGCCAATGCCTCGCCCCCGGTAGTCATAGGTGACCGACCAATGGAGGATGCAACCAACAGAACACTAGTTTCCAGTGGCCAGTTAGTGGATGCAAGCAACTGCTTGACGAATGTTGACAAGAAAAAAGTTGTTATGGTAACCAGCAACCAGCAAGTACTCGTTAGTCAGTCATCGGCAGTCAGTTTGTGGTTACTGACAACTGGCCAGTGATAGGTGCTGGTTTGAATGGCAGGAGGTGGTGGTCAGATGGAATGTTTATTACTCGTGTAAGTTGGTGTAAGTTATGAAAAATGTTTTAAACATAATTCCAAACTGACTTAGATTTCCTTTTACCCAAGAAACTTTTCCTGCTGACCAAAATTTTCATTTGGCATACCAAATATTGGCAAGTGCAGAATGTTTTCATTGAAACACACAAATCGTTGATAGGTAGATCTTCATCAAATATTTAAATTTTCCATTTTTGTTCTCATTTTCCAAGGAATACAACATTTACAAGACAGCCAATATTCAGCATAGCAGACCCGACAGAACCAAGGGGACAGTCTAGTGTTGATACAGCTCTATGTTCTCCCACTACACAGGCATTTTCAAGTAGATCATTTTAAATTTTCTAAATGCACTTTCTCAATAAGACAAGGTACAATGCACATTTTCAAGTTCCATTCCGAGAATGAGAATATGAATGTCATGCAGTTCATTGTTTTTTACTAACTCGTGAAATAATTTAGCCATTTTTCATATGCTAGATGCTCAATAAAGAATCATTTCAATCAAGAGATAGCAATTGAGAAGATACCTAATACAAATAGAAACCATCCTAATTATCATGATTCCCCAAGGTCTCTGATTGAGCCGGCAACAAAGGTGTCCCATTCTTGGGCAACTTTGCCAGTACTGGCCTCCGCATCCCGCCCTCAGATTTCCCAAACAACTGCTTTCGCAACACCTCATGCAAATGTCCAAACAGCTCCTGCTTCAAAGCCTCAAATGCCAAATCCAATCTCTCTATTTGCTCCATTGCATTTTTGTTATACATAAATAAACCGTAGTACAGATCGAAGCTGTCACTGGCTGTATTTTCCACCAAATCCAGCAGAGTCTCGTACCCTTTGGTATTGATTGGAGTGCTATCTAACTGTAATTTCTCCAAAATTCTTCCCATTGTGTGTGTGATAAACTGTGATCCAGCAGCATATTTATCATGCTCTGCACAAGTCATCTCCACCATCCTACAACCTTCCTTCTTGAAAATGTCTAAGAAATTCTCAACGCGTGCAAGTCTAGAATCTTCATTCCCAATCCTCACTTTGTCAAATACAAAGGGTAAATTTTGCCAGCCGTTTTTCCCACTTTCAGGGCCAAACATTGGGTGAGTACAAAGAACATCAAAATGGGTAGGAAGAACTTGCAGGAAAATATTCTTCGGAAACTCTTTAACAGATAGAACATCAACAAAAAGCGTGTTGCGCTTTAGACGTTGGATAGGGAGAGACCTAAGTACCGATTCAGTGGAAATTATAGAGGTACAGAGAAGGATAACATCAGGGTGTTGTTCACACAGATCATGAGTATCAAAAAAGAAAGCAGCGCCAAGTGATTGCGCTATGGAGGCGTAATTTGACCGAGAATGCGCGAAAACAGTATGTCCCTGGCGAATGAATGCCTTGGCAAGGAATTGACCAAAGTTCCCGAACCCAATCACGGCGATTTTGAGCTTGGTGGACTGTGCGAAGCGGTTGACGAGATGGGCCTCGTAATCATACGGCTGCGCGGCGTCAATGGCCCGGATGCGAAGGCCCTGCTGGCGGCTATGGGGATAACAGTGGGATTGAGAGGTTTGTGATGGATGTGAGAACGACAATTGGTGGGAATTGAAATGAGGAAAAAGGGCGGTTCGTGTGGCCGTTGGGGTTGCGGTTGAGGCAGCGCCGGCGGTGGCGGAAGTGGATTGGACGGAGGAGAAAGAAATCATATCTACACGAATGTCAAATTAAGGTAATGTGTGAGTATGTATATAAATGTTCACAGACAATGTGTAAGTGCGTGAGAAATATGGTTGAGCTGAACCAGAGATGGTAGTGGAGGGTTTTAAAATTACACGGCGGCAGAGGGCGAGGTGAGGTGGGGTTGTGGGGAGGCTGCTTATTTGGGAGGTAGGTGGCAGTAATACAATACAATAGAGTAGATGCGGAAAATTGTGAAAAGTCAATTATGACCTACAACAAAATCTTATAATTTGCTTTTTAAAATCTAACGTTAACTTTCAAAAAATAATGCTATATGTACATTATAGTAACATAATGGTGTTCACATTGTACATGTGGCACCTCCTATTGGGGGAGTGCATATGGGCCAGGTGCTCATCCCAATAGGAGGCGCCACATGTACATTATGAACATCATTATGTGTATCATAATGTACATATAACATAACTCACTTTCAAATACATATTTAATATAAGAGTAATGTTATTTATTCTCAGTGTGGATGAAAACATAATTTATGTAACTTTGAGTGATAGGTTAAATGAAATGCAAAATGAAATGATTTATTTAATTTCACCTATCATTTAATGTCACGTAAAATGTGTTTTCATACCCAATGGAGATGAATAACATTATTCTTAATAGAATTCACTATTACTTCTATCATATTATAATTTTATCCAAGTTCACACAAGTTTACTAGTAAGAATAATTAGGAATCGCAAAATGTCACGTACCTCAAAACTTTTTTAATCCGATTGCCTTCTCAATTCCGCCCCTCAAAAATTTGCGACGAACGAGGGAGGAGGACAAGAAGAGATGCCCAATCCTCACGCCATCTCTATTTGGAATTATTAATGCTATTATTTCATTTTAGGAGTTGAAATTAATTTTTGTTTTGAATCAGTCGTTCATTTGCTTTTATCTTTCTTTTAGAAAATTAAAAGAAGTATCGACTTTTATGAAAATAAAATGATAATATTATTTATGAAGTTTGTTTTTCCAAGTTAATAAATTAATGGACTCTTTAAGCAACATAATATTTTTATTGTATAAATTAATCAAGAATCTTGCAAAAATAATTGATTTTTTTTCCCCAAGTGGAGCAACCAACCAACCATCTACCCTTCTTCTATCTCTTCTTTGTATTTTCACCTAACCCCCTCCCTCCATCCGAACTCTGCTGGGTGTACAGAAACTATACACCACAAAAACACACTGGACCACACACAAGCAGGTGAGGCCCGCCATTTTTTGCAATATTTAAATACATCGTGGAGCCCACTGTTTTAGTCTATTCTGACCAATTTCTGTTACTTCTTCTTCTGTACAAATGGAAAAAGCCCCTCCATTATTGCTAACAAATTAGTTTACATGACATAACAATTAAGATTAATTAAATTAAACCACGATCTTCAGGTTTTCCAAGGCTTGATTGGCAAGTCCAGCATGCATGCATAGCCCTTGGGGGTTCGGACCAACGTCGAGTTCGGGTCACGGTATATTCACTGAACTTCAAATTGTACCTAAATGCTCATTCAACTTGTAAAAGTTGCACTCCATCCGTCACTCGTTAACTTGTCATTTCATAAATATCTTCCGTACCCTGACGGAGTCCGACGTGGCTCTTAAAAGAGACAATTTTACAACTGTGGTTGCCAATAGTGCACATCGTGTTTTCAAATTACAATTATGGAAATGCTAAAAATTGAAACATTGTTGTCGTAAATTTTACAGAAGGCCAAAAAATTGGGGAACCCTCGTTTACAGAAGAACGTGTAGATTCCAAATTTTCTACTCCATTTTTTCCTGACAATCTTTCCCAACAATCCCTGCGACCGCCACATCAATGCCGAGCACATCATCGATGGCGACATCGAGACGAATAATATAATTTTTTGATGAACACTTGCAAAAATTTGAAATGGGTTCCATTTTTCTAAATCCACTTCATTTTTTACGAGTTATTTTTGTATCTACTATGAAAAATGTTGTTGATCTTTGCTTATATTTGCAATTACTTTGCGATTTATTTCATTGTTTAATGATTGAAGCTTTCTATTAACTCCATTCAAATAAGAAGCCTTCATATTCTGATCAAAGTGGAGAATTTGAACAGATGTAATGCTCCTCCATTGCACATCTGATTCTATGATTTTATGTTCAATGGAAATTAGATGGTTGTGTAAATTTATCAATGGTCAAAAAGCTTTGTAATAAAATTATGGAAATTCTGATTTGTGTCATTGCCCATACATTTGAAGCAATGTTTCAGGATTATTCATGCTTTGCCAATTACGAATTGAAACTACAAATCTGTTATAGGATTGTTCATGTTTTGCCAGTTATGAATTTAAGCTTTAACATAATTTCTCACTTCTGTTTACTGACTTTTGTTTTTGCAGTCCAATTTTTCAATGACAATATAACTATACGCAAAGAAAAAGGAGATACGGAAGAAAATGAGAAACGAAAGGGAAGAGATTTGTGAATTTGTTCGACCTATGTAATTGATCAGAAGATTTAGTGCATGGTTGGTAGCAATTTTGGTCCAATTTTAATTAAAACTGTGACCGTATAATGTTGTTAGTGGGACCCACATGTGAGAGGGCCAGTCAAACATTGCGGTTGACTTTGATGTTAACGGTCAGAAAATTCATTTGTTTGGTTAGAAAAATTGCTACCAAACAGTCTTAACTTGTAATTGTCATGTTTATCTAATCTGAATTAGAGTTGAAGTTAAATTGTGCTCATGGGTTTTCTTTGTAAACTGCACTAGAATTAGCAATCTTCTCTCAGTATCTGTATTAGTTTTCTACATTGGTCAATAACTTATAAATTTCTATGGTGATGCTCTTCGAGTTCCATTGTTTAAAATGACGCCTTTTATATTAGTGTGCGCAGGCACGTCTCTGTAATACGAGGCCTTAAAGGAATTCTAATTTTTCCTTCGCGAACTTTTGACTTAAGTTGCAATCAATCAGCATTAGTTTCAGTTTTAAAGTTTTGCTTTCTGTTATTGAGAATGCGGCTGCTGCTCTGTTTGCACAATGTGATTTGTCCCCTGCACTACCCACAAACAAAAACAATACAGATCACCCATTATTTGTATATCTTTACCACTTTTTAGTCAAACCAAGCAGAGGCCAAGTATAGTGAACCAATGACATATAAGAAGGTAAAGGAAGTCATCCAGTTATCAAAAGATAACTAATTTCTGTGATGCACTTTAAGCCATGCCCATTTAGAAATAGCAGGAACAAGTAAAAGAAATGATGAATTAGAACAACACATATGGGCTTGGAATCAAAGCCTATTCCACTCTCTTTGTGAAATGAAAAAACATCAGTCAAAAAAAAAAAAAAAAAAAATACAATCATAAGGAGACAAAAACCAGATGTTTGTTCAAGAAACACCATCAAAAACCAAAACCAGCAACACATTTTGTTGACCTCAGAAAACGAACTTAACAGATGCCAAACCCACTCGTGCATGCGTAAGCCATATCCAGCACGTTAAGGCAGATCTACGGTCGAGATCGCTCCAAAGATTGGACGTGGGAAAAACTCAACGACACGAGACGTTTCTGTTCGAACTCCGACAGGGTTTACACAACGAGATTGTATAATGAACAATCAATAAGAACAATATTCGTAGTCGTAATAAACTTGATCAGAGAATGAAATAGGTTGATTTGAGTATTTAAAGTTTCATTAGTCTTCAATTGCTACATGGTGGGGGTGTTTATAGTGTTACAAATGGAATTGTGACCCTTGGATCAATTTACATGTGGCCTCATCTCCTCGGCCAAAGTAACAAGTCCTAGCCATCAAGTTGACCTTCCTAACTTTTCAAAGTATTTAATATTCTTACATTGACAAGATAGAACACAAATACACTTTTTACAAAGGTCACATCAGTCATTCAAATAAAGATTTTCATCATGAACAAATCTTTGCACGTTGACCGTCACTAGCTGTGGTAGAGCCTCGGATCTACTGGGCCTCGAAGGCATGCCACCTCGGATTAGCAGTGGGCCTCGAAAATTATCCAGGGCCTCAGACTTTTACCCCAAGGCCTCGGAATGTCCACCTTGGATTGAGTAACGGGCCTCAGACTTTAAACCTATGGCTTCGGAATTTACACCTCGGATTGAGTAACGGGCCTCAGACTTTTACCCCAAGGCCTCGAAATTTACCCAAGGCCCCGTATTCAAAGATAATGCTTCGAGAGGAGTGGGTCGACTAGACCATGTGGGAACCTAAGTGACGAAACATAACAATAGTCCCCAAAATCTATGTATGATTATTTATATTTTGCGTGGACTTTTAGTTAACAAAGTACCCTCCTCGAGTATCATATGGAAGATTTTAAAATTGATATTTGACCTGAAACTGACTCACCCTGGACTGTGGAGGCTCATTTACTTTAAAGATAGCTAAACTTGTTTTTAGAGCTGAGACAATTAATTGTCGAGGCTCTAACTTTGACGATAGCTGAATTTATTTTGGGATTTGATCCTCTTCTCCGAGGCGCCCATGCTTCCCCACATTGTAGATGATTCATCCATGTAGAGGCTTCTCCCATGACCTTCAGCCTCGTCAGGGAGGCTTGTGATGTCTGCCTCGGATAGCCAATGAGGTAATCCCTTTTGTGATCTAATCATCTTCTCCGAAGCGCCCATGCTTTCCCACATGGTGGATGGTTCATCTATAAATAGGCTTTCCATTTGATCTTTGTCAATAAGAGGTACTTTATAATTTTTAAACTTGTGCAAATTTTATTTTACAGATTGCAAACTTCGTTTCCTAAATGAGGACTCCAAGATAATGCTACTTCTTCTTTTATTCAAAGAATGAGGACTGCATCTTCCTTTATTCAAGGAATGATGACCTCAGGATATCGTGCCTCTTCCTTTATTCAAGGAATAAGGTCTTCAACCAGGGATAAACATCTGGCATGGCAGGGAATAAACATCCCGCAAATA